GTTAATAAACACTAATTATTCATATAATCAAAACTTATTTCTCTTTCCAGCTGAACTGAAAGGAGGACTCTCCTTTCCGTCAATTGGATGCCTAACAAACAACGATCGTTCATGTAACATTTCATTAAAGGAATGCTCCAACCAACTTCAACTGTGAATAATTTAGTGGAAAGAAATCTCCGAATAAACGAGACTAATTCCTTTTTCTGAACTAAAGCAATCACTTCTTCTTTTTCGTCAAATTAAAAAAATTGAGAATGAATATACTTTTCGTCTCACAAATACACACTAAATATCCGTTTACTCGAATTTCACATACGGATTTGACCAAGCTTCGAAAATATTCATTCTAATATGCGAAAATAGTGATGTGCAAAAAAACGAACTTGATAAAGATTGCCGGCCACTGGATCACCGAGATTGTGTTTCTTCGCAAATTCGGCCGCTTTGAATCCACCGCGCTTATCACCAGAGTTACCGGGTAGATGACCGTGCGCTGGGTCACTGACCTTACCAGACTGCTTGTAAACCAAGAAGATGTAACGGTGCAATCCTGAACTTGTTGCAGTCAAACAATTTATGTGTGAACTGCGGAAATATCAGGAAAGAAGGCAAGCTTTGTTAAATGCAAACAATTTTCAACAGAAATGAGTGAAGACTGACAAAAAACGCAAATAAAACATCGAGAATGCGGAGAGTTTCCGATGAACTCAGAATGAAGAGAGGCTTCGATCAAGCATCAAAAACGTCCACTAGACCAAATCACTGACCAGTATCTGGAGGTGGTGCAGACGAGATGAATTCAGACAGCACTTCCCCTTTGCTGATATCATTACCCGGAATATTCGTGATCAACCTAAATCTCATTTTTAGTTTCGAAATAAATTTTCACTGCCACAAAACAGAATAGGTTTTAGTGAATTTAATGAAGGCGAATGTACAGAAAATTTACCAATGATGCCATTCACGGAATTTAGGGTCTTTACGTGACGGTGCGTCAGGATCTGAAATGGAAATTTTTACGTTTCGACTGGATCGAGAATTATTTTGATTATAAAGATTATTTACTGAAGAATTAATATTTCCCAAAGGGAGTTTATCAAATTTCATATTCTATTCACTGTGTCAACCAAGATCTGCAGCATTGCTCTATCTTCAATAAAACTTCAACTGAACGAACCGGTCATAATGAGCGTGTAAAGTTGACCAGCCTCAGCATCCCAAGAAACCTTTGGAGGATTTTTGACTTGTGTTGGTGTTAATACATTACCACAATTCACCTACAATATGAGCATGAAGTGAAATTTTATCGCTGATATTGCGTCTGCATTTCCGTCATCGGCTTTTGAAATGCGAAATGAAAATAAACGTGGAAGGAAAATTATTGGCCAATGGGAATGGGAAAAGTAACTGCTCGGTGCACACCTCAACACCGCTATCGAAGACCGCTTTGACAAGCTTCGACGGTCCCTTCGAAACGACGTCAGGCACAACCTGATGCTTTTGGAATGCTTCTGATGCTGCCATACCCGAGTACAATCTGAAAATTCCTTAATTCGATAGAATGTTCAAAGAATCTCTCAAAATCAGCTCAGAAAAATTCACATTTGAGTTCAAATAATCCTTAAAGCAAACATCAAGCGCCACAATATTCAAACCATCAAATGCGTGATATTTTAAAGTGCATTTGCAATAAACACCACACTTGGCACTCGTGACTGGATGAGGGAGGGATTGCACGAAATCAAAAGTATGGAGCATGACGGAATGGAATATTAAATTCGGAAAGTAATCCCCAACGGTTGGCGCTTTCGATGACAACAATGAATCGCACTGTATTGCAGTGAAAACTGTATCAGCATCAGTTAGACTGTGCGATATTCGGGATCGGACAAGATGAATTCACGTAGCCAGGAGAAGCAATGTGCTTTGAATGGCCAAAGATGGGAATTTAATTGCCTAATTTCGAATCCGATCAAGTCAGGACGTTTGCACCACAATACAGTGGCGTTGAGATTGAAAAAAAAAACGGCAAAAAATCGAATTCATACAACTGTGAGTAAATCGTAATTGCAGTGGATATGGACTTCACAGAATGCACAATAACGAAAACGAGAAGCACGGAATAACACCGCAGTGATACAATAATAATGTGTATGGAATAATAAAGGACTGAAGGACAATCAATCGGAATATTTCAAAAACAATCCAACATTGAATGAGTCAGTCCATTATATGGTGTGAGTGAGTGGAGCATAATGAAGCCAATTGAGCTATCACAAACTGGTGCTATATTACTGCGTGAATGATGTCGATGTAAAATTGAAAGCGTTCAAAAAGGTGAAGTGAGTCGAAAAATGACGACTGCAACACAAAACGCAACGCTGCAAGCTAATCAGTGGAATATCTTAATGCAGATCTACACAAATGCACTATTGAATTTCATCAACCAACTGTTTAATTTTGCTGGATCAAAATATTTTTGAAGTAATTCATGATACATTACCATCATACCATACTGAATGAAATGTCAGCTGAATGAAATAATAATTGTTTTGATCAGTAAGTTAATATCTCTTTCAGGAAATGAGTATATGAATAATTTCCAAATGATCATTAGATTATTCAGAAGGAATATCGAAATTTAATTGACAGAAAGTTCTCAATAGCTGTAAAAGATAACGATACCAACAATGAGAAGCTCACTGTCACAATGAAATTGTGCAGTGATAAAGGATAAAACCCATACTTGCCTTGTTGCAGAGCATGACTGAATAAAGACCGCAAGTAAAAACAGCACCTTTGATAAATTCATTGCTGAAAGATCTGCGTGATAACTGATCAATAGAAGTAACTGAACTGTCCAATGAGAACTGATTCCTAAGGTAACAAGCATACAAATAATGAATGATGAATGCACAGTCACAAAATCTTTCTACGAATACTTTCTGAATTTGAAACTTTATTCACGAAGATCTGCGATCCCATTCGTCAACCTTTTCACTATGAATAACAGTTTTCGTTTTTCTTTGTGATTCAAAATAATTTTAGTCCCCTTCAATGTCCCTTTTAATCTCTCTTATCATTTTCTCCCGAACTAAATTCTAAATATTATTGTTAAAGTCAATCCAATGATAAAACTATAAACTGAAAGAAGATCAACCAATCAACCAAACCATAGATTGGTGAATACACTGAGGACTAACTATGATATTATATTCATTGAAACATATCACATACGAAGTCGGAACAGCAATTCAGCTACTTATCTGCCCGATTAAAATTCATCCATCTCAGAAAGTGGCATGCAAACGCATTCACGCAACACCCATTCACGAAAATGTGCATGCGATCGCAGAGATGATTTCATTATACATATATCTTCTTTAATGAACTATACAAAATTTTAATCCCAAATACAAGATTCTGAAACATTTCTAACTGGTTTTTGAAAACTGAAACATTTCTGAACTGGTTTCTTGAAAAACCAAAAATAGCAAC